GAGTAAACATCCATCAATAATGGTCATATTACATAATCATATATTGTAAGTTATTTTATAATGAAAATATTGTATTGTGTACTTCCTTTGAATGTACGATGATAATATACACATTTATTTTAGTTTTTAATTTTAAACTTACAGTATACGATTCCATGTACATATATGTACATTGTAAGATAACCACAAACTGTAGTTTGTGGTTATCTTAAAATACTTAATTTTTCGTGGATCTATTTTAGTGAATAATTTTGTAAAGGAAATGACAAACGTAGGTTGGATACCTTTAACAAATGTATTGTTGGTATATATATTATAATTAAATATTAAAGAGACCTCTTGAGTGCCATAAATATAATAATGTTTACTGTAATAATAATGATTATACCACCAACAATTCACGTGAGAATACAATTAGGACGAATATAACTATCTAGAGATCAGAATAAACATCATTTGACTTACCAATTTTTACTTTTAATTCATGTTGATGATGTGAAATTTTATTGATTTCAAAGTAGTGGTATCAACTTTGTATATATAGACTATTTTAGAGTTTTAAAGACATTAAACCACATAACCATTTTAATTTTATTAATTAATAACTTTGAGGTACAAAGTAATATTTTTAAATTAAATTTTAATAAAACTCCGCTCTATTTAGTTTTTAGGTTAATATGTAATATAAGAACCCATTTTTTATACCTAAAAGATTCTAAAACTTAAACTATATAATAATCTATGTAATATGATGAAATCATCTACTTTTTTAAATAAAATGACAAAAAAATACAAGTTTCAAAAAAAAATTGGAATAACGAATATTTGGTGACGATTTGAAAATGACCGTAAATCTCGTATTCTCCCATGGGAAAGTACATACAGAAAGAGAAGTAGGATTTGACATGGGACCGTTGGGAAGATACGCGCCTCGAGGATATTATGGTTTTTGGTGGGTAGATATACGATCCCAAAGAGATATATCACACATAGATACATGCACACGGTGATGGTCTATACTATACATGGAGATATGTATATAGTACACATAAGGGTACAAAACTGACAATCCTTTTCTTATACAAGTATCAAACACTTATGCGAGTTGTGTGCGAATGAAACAATAGAAATGAGTCTTGTGTAATAAAAAAAAATTCGAGTATACGTTATGTGAGCCTATCGAAGGTTGATGTGCGTTTCCCACAGGACCGACAAAACCCTGATGTTCGCTAAAGCCGAGGCTTTTATGACTGAAATTCTCTTAAAACATATAATATGATTCACGGTGTACTTTTTGTACATTTAAAATTAGGCGACCATAAAATTATGTTTGTACACGTTTTAAACATTATTTCACTTAATCATTAAATACAATTTTTTTGTCTCCATGTACATATACTAAAAAAGAAGTTCACTATGTTATAGTAAACTTAAATATATTTGAAATATTATGAAAGGTTATTTATTTGAAGTGCTATTAACCACAATAAAATAAACCTATTGGACAAAAAAGTTATAGACAATGATATGCATTTTATATCAGTTGCATATAAGATTTCTTTAATGTTAACTAAGAAAATTATAAATAAGTATATTCGCAGGCGCAAATTGATAGACACTTGGAGGAGCTTGTGAGTTCCTTCAATCATACATCAATTGTAAAGGATTTATCTCCTCTAATTTTAAAATTAGCCCTTCAAAAGAACTACATATATAATAATTTCAAACAAAATTTTAGAAACGAAAAAGTTAAATATAATAAGCTCCTCCAAAAATTTTGTTGACATTGCAGCTATGTATTTTTTAAGTGTAAATAAATAACAAATATTCTTATTTTTTAGTAACTGATTTATTATATTATATATTTTAACTTATTAATAAAATTTATTGGTAACCTAAGTTGCTAATAAATTTTAATTCGAGAGAAAAATTATAAGACTAGAATAAAAAACAATAATACTATCATGAGAGTAGTAAAATAATAATCGTATTTAAAAATTATTTGATTTTGAATTAAATTAAAAAAATTAATTCTGTAATCTATAGAACATTATATAATATATTTATTTTTATAAGAATCATTTAAAAGTAATAACAACTAGTAAAATGTTAATAAGCTAATCTTTAAAACCTATTAAATACCTTCCAAATAAACGCGCGAAAATAATTTTTAAAAAATGCAAAAAATTTTTTCAACCGATCGCTGCGGACAGGGTTCGAACCTGTGCGGGCAGAGCCCATTGGATTTCAAGTCCAACTCCTTAACCACTCGGACACCACAGCGGATGAGAGGGAGGGCACAACTTTGTACTATTTATTATAAACTATACTACAAAATTGAACATATTTACTCGAAATTAAACATTGTTTTTTAAATTTATGGTTATATATTTAAAAATATATTTTAATTAAAAAAAAAAATTACAATGAATTTTTAATCTAATTACAATACAATAAATTATAATGAATATTTATTAAATTTCATATTTAATACGAACTCTTTAATAATATGTAAATATAATATACAGAGTGATTTTTTTATCATAACCCACTCAATTACTTGCAGAATAATAATAATTTAAACATTTTTTTTTTTTATTATCTTTAGTTACACATTATTCTTGAATTTTTAACTATGTAATACTTTTTAAGTTCATCCCTTATGCCTTGGAGGGGGGTCAACTTTGTTTTTTTAAATGGTAACACATATTTTTAATTTAATAAAATGTTTGAGTTTTTAATTTAATAGTAAATGGCATTTGAATTTTTAATATAACTTTATTAGCTTATTAGATATAAACATTTAAAGTTTCAAAATTTTGAGTTAATATACATGTATAATACACATGGGATTGTAAATACAGGTAGCTAATTGGATTTTTATGACATTGCTGTCTCAGTCACGGATTGTTTATTATCAATTATGGTTATCATTAGATATAGTTTCTGTATTGTCAGTTAGTGTATTTATAAACTCATAACAATGTGCCTTACTATAATTGATAATAACAATGCTGTGTACCTGCTAATATCGATGTTATAAAAAACCAATTAGCTACCTATATTTGTAATCCCTTGTGTATTATACCTGTATATTAATTCAAAAATTTGAAACTTTAAATGATTATATCTAATAAACGAATTAAGTTATATTAAAAATTCAAATGCCATTTACTATTAAATTAAAAACTCAAACATTTTATTAAATTAAAAATATGTGTTACCATTTAAAAAAACAAAGTTGACACCCTTACCAAGCATAAGGGATGAACTTAAAAAGTATTACATAGTTAATAATTCAAGAATAATGCGTAACTAAAGATAATAATAAAAAAAAAATTTTTAATTATTATTTTTCTGTAAGTAATTGAGTGGGTTATGATAAAAAACTCATTCTGTATATTAAACGTAAATACATAAACAATTATTTAAAATAAAATAAAAATTGGTTAAAAAATACTTTTTTTCTAGTTTTTTATTTATTCAAATAATCTAATGTATTCTAGTATCCTGAAAAAAAAATTATTAGCATGACCTTAAATGCATATTTTTTTTATGCTCATCACATCATTTAATGTACTCGATAAATTGCACATAAGTCTCAATAATATACTTTTATAGTAGTCTACTAATTTGGGATGATGGATAATTGTCTAACACTCAATGTGTTAATAAAATAATGTCAATAACTTAATGCAAAGAATATTAATATGAAATTAACGCTTATTATTAAACTTAAATATATTATATTCTATTATATATTATATTTAAAACATATTTTATTTTTATATTGTTTTTATTAATTAACGATACTAAAGTTGCCGTAAATTATAACAGCAAATGAATTGGAATACAATTCACTTATATAATCATTTTTTGAGATTCTTTCAGTCTATACATATTTTATGTCATGATTGTATGGGGCTAAGAGAATCTCAATATATTTTTTATTATATAAAACACACATTATATTCTATTCAGTAAAAAAATGTATAATCTATTATATAATACGATTTTCATTAATAGCTCTAATAAATTATTTTTATGCATAAATATGAAACAATGTACTGAAAAAAAAAATTATCCATAATTATAATACTATCATACGAATTTCATTGCAAAAATAGGTATTGTGTTACTCACCTTAATGATATATTAAAAAATGTTTTAGTAGATAATAATAATAACAATATATAAATAAAATTAATTAATGGCAATGCAACTACTACTATCACACTTTAAACAAATATTTTTCTAGATTAATTTTATGCCAAACACTTTACACGTCACTTTATTTACATTCATTTTGTACTACCTATTGTTATATTAAACTGTTGTAATTGGTTGGATTGTTTTTGCATAACACAAAAAAGTTTTGTCATCCAATCGCTGCGGACAGGGTTCGAACCTGTGCGGGCAGAGCCCATTGGATTTCAAGTCCAACTCCTTAACCACTCGGACACCACAGCGGATGACATTAATAAAAAAATTTACATAATTTATGTTAAGTTTGATACATTTTAATAATACTAGTAGATTATTTTACATTTAACTGCACACATTTTTTGGTTGATGTTTTTTTAATAATAAGGATGATATAGTTAACATAATTTATTAAATGAATTGTGTTTTAATTACTTGATACTTTTTAGGGATTTTTATGTTTTAACTTAATTTTTATAACTTAATATGTTTGAATAAATAGCTATGAAAATTAAATAAATAAACCTGTTTTACAAAGTTTAATTTTTACATTTGAATAACACAATTGTTATTTTGTCAAACGAAAAGTATTTTTTCCTTAATGAACCTAAGTAATAACCTATTGTGCAAAATTCAATGTGAAACTACTGTACTTAACTCTTTCCTTTAAATACACTAGCTCAACTAATATTGGCTGGTGTCAAACCAATCTTCTGATTAACAACTGGAAGGAATAACCTAATATGTAACAAAAATAACTTTAAAATAATAAAATTATATTTTTTTTTAAATTCAAGGTTATTGTTGTACCACATTCTCACAATGATCCAGGATGGCTAAAAACTTACGAGGGTTATTATCATTCGCAGACCAGAAATATTCTAAACAATATGGTAGACAAATTGGCTATGTTCAAAAATATGACATTTATATGGTCTGAAATATCGTTTTTATCACAATGGTGGGAAAGGTAAGCAAAAAAATATTGTTCATTTTTAATTGATAATGATTTTTAATTAAAAAGTATGTAAATTGTTATGATTATTATGATGATTATTGACGTCAGTTGAAATTAATAAAGCTCCTAGGGGCCCATCTATGCATTAGTACTTGAATTATATTTATATAAAAAGTATGCAAATGTATTTGGTATTTAATTAGTTTAATTGAAATTAACTTGAAATTTATTACGGCAATGTAAAATAATGTTAATTTTTTCTAGTTTCCTAAACTCGAAGAATAAAAAATATATATACCAGATTTATTTACATATCAGATATTTAACTTATTATATTATTTTTAATGCATTAAGAAGATTAATTTTCATTATTTTATAACTAATTTAAAAATGATTTTAGATTTTCTATATTTTTAATACAATGTTTCATTGAAATAAGTAATGTAACATAAATTATAGTTTCTGTAATTACTCTAAATTTTTGTTCTAAATTAAAATATTGATCTAAGTCCAGTGTGTTAGATATTAAAAATTGATATTTTATTTCTAACTGCAATTAATTTAATATGATTAGGGTATCTATGATTAAACTATGTTAATTTTATTGTAAATAAAATTGTTACTTGTGACATTTTTAAAAGCATCATAATTCATTTATCATCCTTTTGTGAAGTACAATATATACTTTTTTAACTCTCAATACTTTTACTTCAAAATTGCCTCAGTTCTTTTGTTGTTAAAAAAATCATTTAAAAGGTCTACCATTGGAAATTATTATTATCTTTTAATAAAAAGATGAAAATTTCTTGGTTCATTTTTTTTAATTTTCACTACCTATAATGTGGTGAAATATTATTTTAACTCAATAAATTATTTTCTCATATTTCACTAGATATGTAAATGATTTTGCCTCTATTCATAGCTGAGATGTTATTAGTTTAACTATGCTGTTATTATTATTTTTTTTTGTTCATATATATTCTACGTTCTTACTAAACCGATTTTGCTCAATCATACTTTAAAATATCTAAAATCATATCTAGCTTCATATCACATATGAAGCTTTTAGCGCCATAATTTGGAAAAATTCTCAAAATAAATGAAAAGTTCATTAATATTACAATTATTATAAAACAGTCAAGGCCGATATTATTAGTTTTATTTTATATTGAAAATACCTTATAGAAAACTAAATAGATTAATTAACATTTTTATTGGAAATGTTTTAAACTAACTATTGATAATTATATAATATACTATACGATGCATATTAAAAAACCAGCACTTTCAACTTAATTATTTTATCAACTCATTAAATATGGAAAAATTTGTGAGGAAATATTTGGAATTTACCAAGTTTATTTATTTGAAAAATATTTTTATTGGATGTAAGTAAAATAACCGAGTTACTCGAATAAATATAAGAAATATTGGAGTAATGTGATATAAAAAATTTTAAAAAGCAAAAAGTATGTGATTCCGGCCAGGATCGAACTGGCGACCTTCTGCGTGTAAAGCAGATGTGATAACCACTACACCACGGAACCACGTTAGAATATTAGTAGAAAAATAACTTATTTAAGTCAATTCAATGTTTCAATATGTAAATATTTCGGTACTTCAAATTTTATAATATTATCTAAACCCAACATTCTTTCACGACCTTGATATTGTAAATAAAACATTTCATTCAATATTTTATTAGGCATGATTTGTAAAAAAAAATAAAAATGTTCAAATTGACTTGCCTTGACCAGCTCTGATACCGATGGTTATTATTAACAACAGTATAAACTCATTTTCTAGAGTGGGCATTAACTTGTTAAAAAGTTAAAATTTTGTTTATTTAATTAAGTTAAGTAACTCATTAGATATTTCGACAAGTTAATTTGATTATCGAATTATATCTAACTTGAAAAGATGTCTAAGATGAAGGGGTACGCAGTGGCGTAAATAACACCCCCGCAGGCACCGCAATGTGGGGGGGGCGTCAGCAGGTCATGGGTGCCAAATTACGAATGCTCAATACCTCATCAATAATTAACATGATTGAAAGCGTAGTAAAATTTAGTAAAGGGGCGCCGTCGAAAATTCTGCGTGGGGGCGCGCGCTTGCTTAGTTAAGCCACTGGGGGTACATTAAGTTCAGATCCCTCTACTTTTTTGAATTTAAAATTTTCATCCCTCCACATAGTTTATCAAAACAACACATCTTTCTTAATATTGTTACACATACATTAAGCTTATTGGTTTATATTATTGTTTATTTATCATAATCATAATTTTATATTGTAATAATTATTTTGATTAAATTTCCTAAAATTAAATTATCCATTAAAAAAAAACTATTTTAGGAAAAGAAATTTATACATACATATAAAGTGTTCACTAAATAAGTAAACGGGTTTCTATTGTTCTTATTGTTTATAACAATTGACCTGTTTCCATATTTACTGAACACTCTGTATATTTAACACATGTATAAATTTATTGATGCCAATTGAGAAAAACCAAAATTTATGTGATTTACGCCTAGAAATTGGGATGTAAAGCAGATATAATAACCACTACGCGCACGAAACCATTGAAAATTCAATTAAAAAATATATAGTCTAAGCAAATACTGCAGTCGATAATAAAATTTCGTTATATTAAAATAATGGCATAGACAGAATTTATGCTTAGCCTATCACATTGTCTTTCAAGCGCCTAAGTTTTATACTGTTAACAGTAATGATTAACCAATGGGTGAACTATAGTCCCCTGAAGTGGACTATCTATGATTCTTCCACGAGGAGATGTATTATTTTGTAATAGTCATATCTATTCAAAATAAACATAATATATGTTATATTATAACACATAACATATAAACATAAATTAAAAATTAAAAACCTTGCATTTTACTATAAAGTTTATTTTGCTTTATTTCGTTCATACAATTACCAAAATTATGTTTCAAATACGCTCCTGGGGAGTATATAAGGGTTATATTCCTCTAAAAATACACCACGGTCCCTGGTTATGCCATTGGGAGATTATTAAAGAAAAGGTTGAAAACTTAATCGTCACTTTCTATTTTTAATAATGACTAGTTAACACTTTAAAAAAATACTTAAACGTATCATTAAATATTTGTATTATGTAAATTAAATTAGTTACCATCTAATAATAGCAAAAAATGTGTGATTCCGGCCAGGATCGAACTGGCGACCTTCTGCGTGTAAAGCAGATGTGATAACCACTACACCACGGAACCAGATGTTTGTCACTGATGATTTTCTTATCTGGTAACACAATGTCAATAAGTTATTATAAAATTTTATATTGAAATATATAACTTTTTAACACGCTTATATTAGTTTCACCTGTATGTATGTATGAATGTAACTCTCCAAACGCCACACGTTATCGCGTATCCCGTCGTCTATGGCCTTGAGACTAGACTGTCGTAACGCATACACCCCTCCCCACCCCTCGCTCAACACTNTAGACTAGACTGTTATACGCATTCACCCCTCCCCACGCCTCGCTCACAATACGACGGTACACTATTCCTATAAAAATTTATTTTTAGTTATCGTACCCGTACACGCGTGCTTGTCATCAATATTATATATATATAAACAAATTTTTATTTTGACTGACCAATAACGCCCGCGTCTAAAGCGCCTTACGTATATATATTTATATATTCCTACCGCCGTTTATACCTCAGGTATCATGANTATATATTCCTACCGCCGTTTATACCTCGGGTATAACGTTAGTCCGACCCGCCCGGCCATAAAACACAGCTATACTTAGTGCATGATACTTTTACGTATCGCATTATTTGTATATATATATATATATATATTCTAATTACTATTAAAATTAATATATTAACACGATTTATTCTAATTAATAAATATAAAGTATTCATTCCGATTACGAGGGATGATTTCCGTATCGTCATTTTTCGTCACTACCTCCACGTTCCGGGAGTGAGTAATTTACGCGCCTGCTGCTTTCCTTGGATGTGGTAGCCGTTTCTCAGCCTCCCTCCCCGGAATCGAACCCTGATTTCCCGTTACCCGTAACAACCATGATATTGATAGTAACTACTATCATAACATGAAACTAAAAAGTAAAAAATAAATATAGTTTTTTAAACTATATTTTACATAAGCAGTTGCATATTTAGAAAAATTATAAGAATTGAATCCATACAATCGCATCAAAAAACTATTTTATGTTTTTAATTTATTTAAAATATTAATTATATTATTATTATTATTATTATTAATTTACCTTTAACTCCCATTTTGAAAAACTACGATTGTGTTATAAAGCACAGAAAAGCCTAAGCATCTCGACGTAACGGAATGAAATACCAGTATGCACTAATGCTGGACGCGTTTCCGACTGGGCTAAGTAGGCTTCTTTAAATATAATACTAAATAACTACAATATTTTAAACTCTACCTCTTTAAATACGCCCTCATTTTCCAATTTCAAAACCTAATTTTTTGTTTTACTTTTTGTATTATCGACATTGTTTTGTAAATAAAGTTTTATATATTTTTTATTTTTTGAATTAAAATGTTTAATGCTAGAGTGAAATGGTTATTTATAAAAAATATATATTTATTAATATGCTATAAAAATATTTGATTTTATCAATTGTTCTGAGTGTATTATAAATCTATTTAAATATTAATACAACTTCATGAGGATCAGTATCGTATGAATTTATGTTTTACTTATAGTCGAATGACCGGTAATAGACCGTTTATTTCTATAAATAACGCAAGTAGGGATTTTGTCGACATTTCAAGTTAAACGGTTTTCAGTCCACATTGAAAAAAAGGTTAGAATCCGTTCCGAGATAGAAAAAATCTATTATCAAGATCGTACTTAACCCGCTCACCCAAAAAATATAGAAAAAAGCGAGATTATGTTTTGCGAGGGTTGCAGTAAAAGGATAATAGATTTTTCTCATCGATCAGCCCCTTCTATTGTTGTACCTTA